TCAAATTTAAAAGCTGGATGCTGTACAATTATATGATGGATGTTCTGGGACCCAGTTGAAGAGGAGGATGCAGATGGTAAGCATTCCAAGAGCCGAGTAGTTGCACTGACGAAAAACTTATTAAATGCACTTGCAATAGCCTTTTTATCGGAGGTTATTGACTGTCCACTGTTTATTTTTGGAAAAACAGCTGTTTTCTCTCCAGGTAATATTTTCTTTATTGCTTTCCAGAGAGCTTTATGATCTTTGCCACTGTCTTTAACAAGATGATAATGATATGAAGCGTTGGCTTTCCTTATACTGTTAGAAACTTTATTTCTGCAGCACTGGTAATTAGCCCAGTCCTTAGAGTTATTCATATTCCTTGGTCTCTTGAGAAGAAAATTACATCTGCGCATATTGATTTTAATGTTTTTACTTAACCACGGACACATGTCTACACCTTGCACACGCTTATGAAGGACTGGAGCATGCTTGTTGGCTGCACAGACAAAAGATGTTTTAAAATGGTCCCAAGGCTCATCCACACTTGCAGTTTGTCCATCAATAGAGTTGAAATTCCAATCAATACCAGCCAAGTTCCCTACGGAATTCACTTGTAATTTGCATAGTTCTTAAATGTTTTCATTTGAGCAGGAGCTTTTTGCCAATATAATTTTTGAATACAAGAGACTAACTCATGGTCACTCAAATGCAAAGAGACAACTCTGAAATTGCTTATATTTTGTGGACAGTTGGTCGCAATAAGATCTATCAAAGAAGCAAAGTCTTTAACCATCCTTGCAGGACTAGCAATTAGTTGTTTAAAATTTCATTTTTCCTATTTCAATTTTATTTGTTAGCAATACAATATTATCACAGTCCTAGGTGACCCGCAATTAGCAAGCTATTCTAGGCGGGCCACCCTTCTAAAACAAGTGCTGTCTCTGCTAAGGATCACATACCGATACAATTAAACAAAGATAATCATTAATAAAAATACAATTGTTAAATAAAATAAAATAAAATTAAGTCCGTTGAATAATTAAGTAATCAATTGCAAAGTTATCAAGATATATAATACAATTGAAACAAGACTTAAACGAAGAGTTACTTTATCAAGAGATATTTACAAATTTCTGAGCAGCGTATATCAACATTCATCTCCTCATTTTCCAAAAGTTTTAACAGGCGATTTTTAAGTTCACGCTTAAACGGGGTTCTGTTTTTAATACGAAGTTCTTTTGGGATGCTATTCCACAATCTTACACCTATTCTAGCAAAAGAAAATAAAAGTTGGTTAGTTCTAGACGCTTTAACGTACAGATTAGCCGTTGCTGAGAATCTTGTGAAATGGTGATGAACCTGCTCGGAGTGGATAAAGAGCATAGAAATATTAGACGGGGCACGGTGATTATCAATGTCATGCATCAAAGAGGAAACCAAATGAGAATAGAGCATAGTTATTGGTAAGATTCTGGAGTTAACTAATAGCGGGGCACTATGAGATTTGCTATCCGCAAAATACATTAGTCGTAGAGCACGTTTTTGTAAAATGAGAACCTTATTTAAATGAGTGTTAGCAGCTTGTCCCCAGGCAATAAGACCATAAGAGATATAGGGTTCAATTAAGGAGCGGTAGATGTTAAGAAGTGTGGCAAATGGGACAAGATGTCTTAACCTGGCAATTATACCAATTCCTTTACTAACTTTAGATGAGATATAATCAATATGATACTTCCAAGAGAGGTTATTATCTATCAGAATTCCTAGATATTTCACAAAAGTTTTTTGTTCTAGAGATACACTTTTTTTAAGATCGTTATTATAAATTTTCAAGTGAACTATGTAGTCCAATTTGCGTTGGTAAGGATGGAAAATAACAAAGTTAGATTTACTAGTGTTAAGAGAAAGTTTGTTTGCGTCCAACCAGTCACCCACTTTTGCGAGTTCATCATTAACAACAACAAAACTCATACTTTTGAACAAAGATTTGAGTTGTTCACTGTCAGGACTGTTAC